TATTAGGACCTTGAATAAGTTCTCGCTGATTTTTCGTGAAAATTAATGCTTTATTTAAAAAAAGTCGTAAAAAACATGTCACTGAAAATATTGTCCATTGCTATTGTCACGCTTAGTTGTTTTTTAAAACGTGTTTATTGTCCTTTTTGGGTCAATGGATTTAACCACTTTACCCCAGGATGGACAAGTTCGTGTGATTGTGAGTGAGGAAATGTGTAAACTTATGTGTGTGTATAAAATAATGATTTTACTTACTGATTTTTGTATTGATTCTTTCTTTTAAGTAATTTTAAATTATTTTGAAGTCCTTCTCGTACTGTAGTTACAGAGAGACTGAAGAGCTTAGGATCGGACTTAAGAGGTTGGTGAAGGTTTGGGAATATGAGTAAAGTGTAACGCGACGCTTAGGAATTGGTCAGGGGATATGTTAGGAAAACAAACCTTTATCTATCCAATAACTTATTTACGATTTTTAATGTTTTATCTTAGTGATCCAATTATGTATATTGTTTGTGTGATGAGTTTTAATTGATTGATTTGCTGAATTAAAAGCTAAAATCTGAAACTGACTTTCTAAAACTTCTACTATTACTACTCAAAAACTGACTGACTGATTGATTAATTGATTGATTGATTGTCTGATTGATTGACTGGCTGAATGACTGACTGTTTGTCTTATCGAACTTTTTGTCTGGTCTGTGTGGGCAGTCGCACCCGTTTTTATAGGCAGGTGGCGAGATACTCCCGCGTGAGTTCTCACCACTTTATTAGTAGAAGGAGAAAGATGCTTCTCACGACATGCGAGTAATAATCAATAGTTAGATTTTGACACCTTATTATCAATCCATTGTTCATCAACCACCCAGGGCATTTACTGCATTCCTGGTGGTAACAGAAGGTGCGCTCGATCGAACTGAAGAGAATTACGTCGGACGTAACACTAGCCACTACTTTTTCCCATCTTTCTGGCAGCATTTGAATTCCACGTCGGAAAAACGACACGTCTTTTGAAGCTATCCAAGAGTCGACCCATTTTTTGGCATCTTCATAAGAATGGAATTGCTGCTCAGCCAAGCCATGTGCCATGAATCGGAACAAGTGATAATCGGAAGGAGCAATGTCTGGTGAATACGGCGGGTGGGGTAGAACTTTCCATTTAAGCGTTTCCAAGTAGGTTTTCACTGGTTGTGCAACATTTGGCCAAGCGTTGTCATGTTGCAAAATCACTTTGTCGTGTCTCTGCTCGTATAGCGGCCGTTTTTTCTTCAATGCTCGGCTCAAACGCATTAATTGTAGTCGATAGCGATCTCCCGTGATGGTTTCGTTCGGTTTGAGCAGCTCATAATAAACTACACCCAGCTGATCCCACCAAATGCAGAGCAGAAGCTTCGAACCATGGATATTTGGCTTTGCCGACGATGTTGATGCATGGCCGGGCTTACCTCACGATCTTCTACGCTTAGGGTTATCGTAGTGTATCCACTTTTCATCGCCACGACACGATGCAAAAAACCTTTCCTTTTCTGCCGTTGAAGCAGTTGTTCACACGTGAAAAGACACCGTTCGACGTCTCTCGGCTTTAACTCGTACGGCATCCAATGTCCTTGCTTTTGAATCATTCCTAATATTTTCAAACGTTTCGAAACTGTTGTGTGATCAACTCCTAATGATTCTGCAAGTTCAGCTAGCGTCTGACATGAGTCTTCATGAAGTAATGCCTCCAATTCTTCGTTTTCAAACTTTTTCGATGCGTCAGAGCGTTCTTTATTTTCAACATCAAAATCATTATTTTTGAAGCGTCTAAACCAATCTCTGCATGTTGTTTCCGACAGAGCATGGTCGCCGTAAATCTCAATAGAAATTCTGTGTGCTCCAGCTGCAGATTTTTTTTTAATAAAGTAGTGCAGTAAAATTCCCCACAAAT